CCATAAAGTTACGGGTTCCATGCTCGCAATGAGTTCGTAGCCAATGAGTACGCAATCTAGATGTCGCTCTCGCCATCATCGGGACGCTTCTGTTCGGGTACGGGCTGCCCATCGAAGAGATCGTGCTGCACTCCATCGGCGAAACCAGCGCTGTGCACGATGCAGGGATTGCTGAGTAGAAGAGCAGGCTACTGAAAAGGATTTGGGCGACCTCTGTGATGAAGAGGCTTTTCCGTGATGATACCTTTATTATCAACGATGGCGTCGAGATTTTTGGCAAGCAGTTCCAAGCGCTCGTCCGTGTGATGCCACACTCGGAGTTTCCATCTGGCTCACCTTGCATGTACCAGGCAATCGATTCGTACATCACTATCTTGTGACCAGCACTGTCACTGCACTCCATGGGCGCGCCACTGACGTTCGACGCGGAGGTCACCCACCTCGTCTTACCGAATCCATCGATGGCAAGCGTTCCCCTGCCTGGTACTCCCGACCCGGCAGCTGAGGGCTAAACCTCGCGGACCCTTTAACGAGCGCTGCGGCGAATCTCGGTTCGAGGGCGGCATGCCATTCCTACGCCTGTGTGCCAGCGGGCCGCGCAGACCACAAAGGTGCCCGTGCCTTTGCCTTCGGCAAACAGTGCCACACTTTCGCAGGCCTAGAGGTTGACACCAACACCAAGATCGGCGGTGTGCCTCCACCGAGGGAAGACGATCCCGATCTCGGTGATGGCATTATTACTGCTGCCAAGGTGACCGAAGTGTTACCACCAGCACCGAAACCTAGGATCACCTTCCCCCTGTGGAGGCAATTCCTTGTGTTGGTGCTGGTGCCAATCTCCATAGGCCTCCAACACTTCGCTCCGCCCTCGCCTCGACGCCGGCCGTGCGCCGCGGACTGCCGTGCAGAGAGCGCCCCGTGCCCCGAGCGCCGAGCCGGCCGCGTGCGCCTCGAGCTGCAACGGCGCCCAGACGTGCGCGTGAAGGCCTTCGGTCGGTCTTCCTGGCCGGGAGGTTGCCACCAGCACAGCGGCGCCATCTTTCCATTGGGCGCCGCGTAATGGGGGGGTCATAAATGGGGGGGCGGCGAGGGTGGTCCGAAAAGGTACCCAAACGGTACCTAAACGAGCCCCCCGGGGCTCTGGAGGGGCCCGAAAGGGGCTCTAAAGGGGACCTTTTCTGACCCCCCCATTTGTGACCCCCCCATTAAGCCACACCCAATTCCAGGCCGACCGCAATCACCTCGCGGTAGCAGGCGTCTTCGGCGCCGTCGTGCCCGCGCCATGCAAAGTCACGGGGCCATCTTGCAGCTCTGGGTCACCACACGGTTGACAATTTGGGCTGGAATCCGGTTGCAGTGAATTCGGAGACACTCTCGGCACTGACTTTCGGCCGAGGCAGAGGCCCCGCGGAGCCGGCCATCGGGTCTGGATTCGGTACTTCTGACGCAAGGGTTGTAACAGTCAGGAGGGAAAAAACACACAGACACAATTGATCGTCGATTCCCAAGAAAGTATGGGAAAATATGGGAAGTGGGGGGGAAGACAAAAACCCAAGGAAATACGGGAAAATATAGGGAATCCCTTTATTTGTGTGTATTAATATATATATAATATATATATTATATATAATATATATATATATATATATATATATTGTGTGTGTGTGTGTGTCTCAGGGCCCCTTCAAACAGGTGTGCACGCCGTGGCTGGCTGCCCCTGCTGTTGCCCCAGCCGATCGAGGATTTTCAGCAGAGCCTGGGTTTCTTGGCCTTGTCTCCAACGATCGGGATCGAGGAAAGCTTTGTGGGAGCACGCGCCACGTTGTTGACGCTCAGGTGTTCGACCACGGTTGCATCTCGGCGTGGTCTGAGTCTGACCCTCAACTTTCCCGCCTTTTGCCAGACCAGCGCGTACGAGCTCATGTTCCACAGAACTCGCCAGCTACGCCAGTTCATCTCTGTTAAAGGTTAGTTATAATTTATAAATTTTCCGTTGCCTGACATGCTGTGTGGCGCTTCGTCGGATGGGAGTCCCGACTTTGCCCTGTCATTCAGAGTACTGTTGCTTTTGCGATGAAAAAAAGGCAGCTACGGTAGGTTCGCGTCGTGTCGACCAGCGGCGACCCCAGCGCGGGCGTTCAAGGTTGAACGCCGCCGGCGTCCCAAAATCGGTCGATGTTGAACGATCGGACGTTTGGTCAAGTACCAGTCGTTCAAGGTTGAACGCTTACCGCGGTGTCAGGGACCAATGCCCGTGTCAGGGACTAATGCCGCGGTGTTAAGCACCCAGCGCGTTCCACTACTCTTCGAAAGGTGTATCGAATGCCCCGCAGATCTCGGAGAGTCCTACGTGTTTCTCGTAGTTTTGACGGTAAACCGATTTCGGGGTCAATGAATTCTGCAGTCGATCCCCTTTTCGAGCTCTACAAGTGCCCACTCGCAAACGTCCGAGAAAGCGTATGCTTGCCTCGATCTGGTGGATCGTAGATCCCCCCGCGGCGGATCTAAGCCATATTCGAGTTGTTATCTTACAGGTTGAGGAACGCACTTGCCTGATTTAGGTATTCGGAAGATGCTCAGGCCGTGCGGACTAAGTCCGCACGGAGTGCTCGGCCCCCGCCTGGTCATATTCCGTCTGGACTTGGCCTCAAGTCGGGTCGGTCCCTCCACAGGAGGAATCTTCAAACATAACAAAAGAATAGTCAGGGGACGACTTTTCGATTATTTGTTACAGCAGCTTTGAACGATTTTTTAGGGGTACGTCTGATTTCTCGTGGGAGGACACGCCCGACCTCAAAGTTCAACTCTTCTGCAGCGTGCCAGAGTCGCCGGGGCTCGCCGCCTTCCCCTGCGCCGGTGGGCGGCCGCGCCCCCCCCCCCTCGGGTCTGCCGCGGGCCTCACTCAGGAGGGGAAAAGACACACAGACACAATGAATCGTCGATCCCCAGGAAAGTATGGGAAAATATGGGAAGTGGGCGGGAAGACAGAAACCCGGAAGATATGGGAGAATATGGGGAATCATTTTATTGGTGTGTGTTTACTTGTGTGTCCTGGGGCCCCTTGACTCGCTGCGGCGGGGGGCACGGCGGCGAGAGAGGCAGCCGCACCGAACCGGGGCACAGCCCGCCGGCACGGGATTCTTCAGAAGGGAAAGAAACACACAGACCCAATGAATCGTCGATCCCCAGGAAAAGATGGGAAAATATGGGAATTGGGCGGGAAGACAAAAACCCAGAAGATATGGGGAAATATGGGGAATCCTTTTATGCGTGTGTATTTATTTGTGTGTCCTGGGGCCCCTTGACTCGCTGCGGCGGGGGGCACGGCGGCGAGAGAGGCAGCCGCACAGAGCCGGGGCACGGCCCGCCGGCACGGGATTCTGCGGGCCCACGGGTGCAGGCCGTGCTTTCGGAGGAGGAGAAGGCAGGCGGTGGCGCAGCGTTTTTGGCTCGTCTAATAGGTTCGCCAACCAAGGCTCTGAGAACCTTTTGTTCGCAGAAGGCATCTATACACCACCACCGTGCCAAGGCAGGACCATCCTGGGCCCCAGGATGGTGTATACGCCCTCCTGGCAGGGTCTATACACCATCCTGGGGCCCAGGATGGCCCTGGCCTGGCACGCTGGTGGTGTATAGATGCCTACGTCGGATTTTGTGGTTTCCACGAAATGTTCTCAGAACAGTTCTGGCTGGGGCTGTCGCGTTCTCACACATCGGGCTCATGATCTAAGAACACCGTTTTTGTTTTTAGCACCTTTCTGGGTCCTAAGAACATTTCGTGGTAGGCCTATAGACATGCTGGGACGGTTGGTCCCTGCTCAAAAAAAGATACCCATACCTCTACCCCCTCGCCCGTTGTCCCCGTTTTGGGCCACCTGGGAGGGCCTGGTCGCCACCGCTGGATTCGCCTCGAAATCCTGGTCAGAACGCATCCCGGGAGAGGTCCGGGGAGTAGCGGTATTGGTACCTTTTGATTTCCCAGACGGGGTCCGAGTAGATGGGGGTCCGAGTAGAAGAGGTCGGAGGATCGCACCACATCGCCGATGCATCGCAGATGCGGCTCGATCTGGAGCTCGATCTGCTTCACGTCGGCGTCGCCGATGCGTCACAGATGTCGACGATGCACCGCCAGAGCATCGCCAGTACATCGCTGATACATCGCCGATGTATCGGCGATGCGGCGCGATCCTCCGACCCCATCTAGGAGGCCTCTAATGGTAAGGCAAAATAGTCAGGGGACTTTTTTTTGACTATGGTTGAGCATTTTATGATGTATGTTTTGACATTTTTATTTTTCGTCGACATTCTTCCTGGAGGGAAACAGGCCCGACCAAACTCTAATGGGATATTGCGGACCCACGGGCCCAGGCCGGTCTCGGCGGACAGCCAGGGCCCCGCGGCTCTAAAAGAGAGGGGAGGGGTGGTTGCAGGGGGGGTGTGGGCAGGGGGGAGGGCTTCTTAGAAGCACCCCTGCTTCCTAGAAGGCGCGGGCCTTATCTACTGATGTAAGGCCAGCGCGTTCTGCAGCCTCCTTCTAAGAAGCCCTCCCCCCTCCCTCCACTCCCTTGTGCGCGCCGCCAAGGAGTGGAGCAGGGGGAAGAGGATCCAGAGGGGCAGCGGGAGGGAGCGGCCTGCTGCCCATGCTGCTGCCGCTGCTCCTCCTCCCGCTCTCCCCCCATTCTCCTCCCCCCCTGTTTCTGTTCGACGAAAAAGAAGCGCCATAAACATAAACTTGTGGCGCTCTGCGCGGATTCCTGGAATCCGCGCCGGGCCCCCCCTGGCGGCACCTCCGGCGCCGCCCCTGGCGCGCTCCGCGCGCCAGGGAGGGGGGGTCCAGCGCGGATCCCAGAAATCCGCGCGGAGCGGCAAAAGTGTCTGCTTATGGCGTTTGTTCTTCCTCTACTTGGACTTCCACTCCCTCCGCCTCGTCTGCACCGCCGTCCTCGTCATCCCGCCCGTCTCCTCCCGGGTCTTCCCCCGGCGCCTTCCCCCCGGGGCAGGCCGTGCTCCGGCGTGGCGGGCTGAACGACGCCCGCAACCCGACGGCTGCAGCAGCGCTCTCGCGCCACCCTCTCTGAGCGGCGGTGGGGGTATAGGAGGCCCCTCCCTCCCTCCCCCCGTCCCCCTCCTTGCCACTATACTTCGAGGACGGTACATTTATGTTGGTCCCATCCTACTTAAGGACCACATCCCAGAAATAATTTCGAGCACCCAGAAAAGTGTCAAAAGAGTGTCGAAACAGTGTCGAAACAGTGTCGGGCGAGTGCCTCCCAGGGCCCGACATGTGAAAACCCTTGAGTTTCGATGCTGTGTCGGCCGCTCGAAGTTCTTCTTGGTGATCGAGGCTAAAGTAGGCTGGAGCATCATAACGGTACATCCCCATAGACATGAAATTTTGGCGCTCCGCGCGGGATTTCTTGTATCTGCGCTGAGCGGCGGTGGGGGTATAGGAGGCTCCTCCCTCCCTCCCCCCGTCCCCCTCTTTGCCACCATACTTCGAAGACGATGCATCGCCACAGCCATAAACTTTTGGCGCTCCGCGCGGGAGGTCTTGTATCTGCGCCGGGCCCCCCACGGCGGCGCCGCCGCCCCTGGCGCGGATCCGAGGAAGCCGCGGGCTGCGCCAGAAGGTTCTGTTTATGGCACTGTTCTTTTTCGGTATACTTCGCAGGGCTGGACCTAACGGTGTTGTGGTGGTTTCGTGGGCCGTTTTCGGTTCGACTTCGTTTTGCGGTAAGGGCGGATTGGCGACAAGACGAGGGAAACCGAAAACAAAACGAAAACTGAAACACCGTTTAGGTTCAGCCCTGATACTTAGAATGCATATGTACGGATACCTCTTCCTTCTTCTTCTAACTTCCCCCGCTCCCCCTCATTCCTCCTCCTATTTCTCCTCCTCCTCGTATACCCTCCTCTTCCTCCTCCTCCGTCTTCTTCTTCTACTATATGTATATGAGGCCCCTCCCCCTCATTACATTGCTGTGTGCGACTGACCTGGCTCGGAGCAGATCCGTGGCCTCGCCAGGCCTCATTTTTTGGGCAGCCCAGCTCGCGCCCGAGAGGCGAAAGTACTGTCATCGGCGTCACCCAAGGAACGATGATTAAGGAACGAAGCCCTTTATAAGGAACGATACACAATCGATAAACCAGAAGGAATGAAACATAACGCATGTAAGCTTAAGGAACGACCGAGCCCTTTTTGAACAGCCGCTCACTGTAGCTCAACAGGTTCTCCAGGGGTGAAAGTTCAAGTAGTTCAGTTGCTGTGACGCTTTGCTTTTTCTCCGATGCCGATTCCCATCCCTTTCCCTCCCCGCGTTCGCCCCCCCCCCCCCCCCCCCTTCTCCCCCCCCCCTCCTATTCCTCCCCCTGCCTCCCCGTTAGTGGGGGCGGGCGGGAGGAGGCAGAGGAGAAGGGCCCTCCCCCTCTCCCTCCCCCCCCCTCCTCCTTTCCCGGTGATGGGCAGCGGCAGGCCCTTTGCTTCTCTCCTCCCTCCTGGTGCGGCGCGTGAGGGGAGGAGTGGTGGTGACGAGTCGCCGTACATCGGCGGCGAGCCCGGGCGGGAAGCGAGAAGGGGCGGTCTTTCTCAGAAGGCTCGGAGGTCCCCCGGCAGTTTGAGAAGTCGTTGGAGCCTTCCCCGAAGGCACCGAAGACTTCTCCGAAGGCGGGCGATGGCTTCTGAGAAGTCCCGCCGTCTTCCGAGAAGTTCTCACTTTGGCCCCCTCGCGCGCAGCCAAGTGAAGAGAAGGGGTCCCGAGGGGACTGGATCTGGAGATGTATCGCCGCGTTCTGCCTTCATCAGTGACCTTCGCCTGGCCCGGGGAGGTCAAACGACGACTCGGGATGAGCACTTGGTCTTGGGAGACGCCACGCTGGATTCATGCCCCGTTTCGATGTACGCCTTCTCCTTGTCGCGGGGCGTCTCTTCAGCAGCTTGCAGACGTGAAGTGCGACCGTCAAGCCGTCTCGCTTGGTGGGTACATTCCTGTTTGCGGCGGAGGAGTAGAAGGAGGAGGAGGAGGAGCGGGATGAGTGGGATGACGAGCGGGCTGGGAGATACGGGAGGAACGGGAGTAGCAGGAGGAGTGGCAGGAGTGGATGAGTTGCAGGTGCCCGAGGAGATGGAGGAGCAGGATTAAGTGAAGGAGTGTTCCGCCTCGCGTCGGCTCCATCGATTCCCGAAGCCGCTCTCGCCCCAGTCGTGTCGTCGATTCGTGCTCCCCTGCTGGCCCCGTGGTGGTCCAGGGCGGAGGGCCGCGTGCCCGCCAGGCTGTGCTGATCTCTAGGATCCGCAACGCGGCGGAGGCGGCCGCTTTTCCTTTCCTGCGTGGGCGCCGACGCCGCCCTCCGACCACCACGGATATCGCGCTCTGTGGAGACCCCGCTCGTGGCGCAGCTTCCTGCCGGGGCAGTGCGGGGGGAGTGGACGGGACGGAACATCTTGGCCGTCTTGGGGGGGTCCGTGAGCCCCACAGGTCGACCCTTTTGGGCCGTCTGGGGCCCTCTTGGGTCTCTCTTGGGTTGTGTTGGGGCGCCGCGGGTGCGTCTGGGGCACTGAAGACGAAGCCAGCGAGTATGCCGAAAATACACCTTTTACACAGGAAATGGGGCGATTTTTGCCTCTTGAAGGCGCTCTTAGGGCCCTCACGGGCCCTTGGGAGTGGACGGGACGGAACCCCGGGAATGCCCCTTCAGCGACAACGGCAACCGTTTTTTCCGTCGGAGTGGTCGAGCATCGGCGTCCCACTGCTTCTCTGGTGGGCAGGCAGGCAGTGCGCAGACAGAGCCTCAGCGACTCCTCCTCCTCCTCCGCCTCCTCCGCCTCCTCCTCCTCCTCCTCCTGCTCCGGCTCTTTTGCTTCTCCCGTCCTCCGCCCAAACTCTTGGCGCTTCTCTCTGCATCACCTCTGCCTCGGCCTTCGGTGCGGCGCGCCTCCTGTGGCAGAGCTCGTTGTTCTCCGTGCCCTTCACGGGATTCGGCCCTTGTCTCCTGACGGCATGTGTGTGCGGTTGTTGCCGAGAGGGGTCCAAGTTGCGATATGCGTGATGTACTCACGCAGGTTTGCGTTCCTGCGGTCGAGTCGGGGCCGACCGCCAACCGGCCGCGGCTGCTGCGGCTGCAGCCGCGCGCGCGGAGGTCAGAAGGCATCGCGCACCCGGCGCGGCAAAACACAGTATGTGACCGAGGAGGTATCCTCCTCCCTCCTTTCCGTGCTGCTCCTCTTCTCTTTGCGAACAGAAGGACTCCTAACTCTAATAACACGATGAAGACGTGACCTCACCGAGGTCCCCGTCTTCACATCAGGGCTAATGGATCTGGGCGGTCTGGCCTGGCACATTTGCAGAGAAAGACCCCCTATCCGTAGTGTTCATGGCCCACCTAACTTGGGTCCCCTCTCGAAGGGTTAGGGGGTCTTTTTTGGTTCATCGTCTTCCTCCTCCTCTTCCTTGTCCGCCTCCTCTTCAACGATGTATCGTTTAACAGAACCTGCAGGGTGGGCACCTCGTCTCTGCTCGGTTCCAGCGGGGCGCCTCTTCAGGCCCCCATGCTGACGCGCGCCTCCTCCTCATCCTTCCCGTCCTCCGCCGCCTCCTCTCCCTCCACTTCCGCCTCTGTCTTCTCGTCGCCTTCGGTCCCCGCCTCCCTCTCCCCTCTCACCCTCCTCCTGCCCCGTCTCCCCCTCACAGCTGTTACCACTCTCCTCCACGTTATGAGGAGGAGAGCTTGCCATCGCTCGGACGTGTGCATTCTTTCTTGGCGAGGACCACGGAGGAGCATCCTGGGTCATCTTGCGAACAAATACACGCACGATACCCAAACATGTACATGGAATGGACGTCCGAGCGATTGCAAACGGTGTGGGGTTGGACGAAGGTCGGCGGCGAGCGAGGGGGGAAAGTGAGAAGGAGGAGGGCTTCTCAAAAGGCGGCGGGACTTCTGAGAGGCCCTCGCGCCTTCGGAGAGGTTTTTGGTGTCTCCGGGGAAGGCTCAGCAAAACTTGGCAGAAGGGTGGATGAGCCTTATGAGAAGGCCCGCCTCTTCGGGCAGCGGGCTCGCGGTCGCCGCGAGTCGACTCGTCCCTTCTCGGATTCGCTGGTCGCTCCTCCTCCTCCTCCTCCTCCTCCTCCTCCTCGTCCTCCTCCTCCCCCTCCTCCTCCTCCTTCTCCTTCTCCTTCTCCTCCTCCTCCTCCTGGGGAATCTGCTGTATGCCGCTGGTGTCGGCCCCGCCGCGGGGCGCATTTCCCTGATGCAGTGGCGCACACTGGCGCCTCCCGGCACCCGGAGGCGCCAGGGCAAGCAGCCACGTGGGCGGGGTCGCTATAGCCCTCCTTTTGCTGTATTGTCTTCGTTCGGCCGACGCGAGGCGAGGGGGGAGGGAGGAGGGGAGGGCGGAGGAGAAGGAGGGTAAGGGGGAGAGGGGGATGATGGAGGAGGACGAGGGACGGGAGGGGGCAAGGAAGCATGTGGGGCGTCTTGGGGGCCGTCGTTGAATTGCGAGGAGGAGGAGGTGGAGGAGGAGGAG